ACCTGAAGGGAATTTATTTCTCAACAGTATTGAATGAATTAATTGAATATTTAAAAGGATTTAAAAATGTGACTAATATGACTGCGCTGGGTTCGATTCAATATGATGGTAGTGATCTAATAAAGCACTCCCTTCTATCCAACCAACCTGTGTAACAAAAGTTTCATAATGATGATAAACGTTTGACGAACTCTAATAATTTAAGAAGTATTTAAGTGTTGGTTTGTAGGGATTTGATTGGTTTCAGGATTTCATCATGAGCTGACATTAATTAGAGAACCATTGGAAAACCTGGGAGTACTGGACAGCTGTTTCGTCCTAGTGCTTGGGACTCTTCATCAGTACGTACCCACCGGGATTCGAACCCAGGACCTTCCGGTTACAAGGCGAGCTCGTATACCATTAAGCCACTGGGACCCGATCCAACAGTCCTTGAATTCTAACTTCTGCCAATTCACGACACGAGAAAGCGAAAATTCACAATTGTAAAATGAAAGCAATTCATTATAATCTACATTATTTATTATTCTCATTTTGTACTTCGAATATTTTTGACCTTATGTCGTAAACATGAAAAAATTCCTCTGGTTAGTTTCATTTTTTGATTTTATTTATTTATACGAGTTTGGCTACGGATTAATATCAGTTCGAGAACTATTGAATACCACCCCTGGAGTACTGGACAGCTGTTTCATCCTAGTTTAGGAATCATAGACAGTACGCATTTGTCTGTCTGTCTGTCTGTTTTCGACATAGAACTTTGCACAAATGTGCGGAAGTTCAAGTCGCCACATTCCGTGTAGCACGCGAAGCAAGAGAAGAAAGTACAAGAAAAGCATAATAGAGACAGTGAGCAGAGGTGTGAGACAAAGGAGTAATAAAGAAATACAAAACAGTTTCATTGAAGATCATAAGTCACAGGGAGTGGATGCATCTGCGCCACTCAGAACGGTTTTGAGCCATGTCACCAATTGTTTCCAACCATAAATTTTTACCTTCCCGAGGACCCCAACCTGGAAGTCTACACCTTCCTATGTGGCTGGCTTAGACCAACTGTTGTGGATTTCATTGACTGATGCCAAGTTTTTGTTTGACCGCCGCTAGCTTTTTTCCAGCCTGACCCGATATCCGCTAACATAGCTCGTTGCGGGAGGCGATGGCTTGGCATACGTAACACATGTCCTAACCATCTCAGTCTTTGTAGCTTCACGACTTCGTCGATTGATTTCCCCTGTTTACCTAGACAGTACGCATTTACTGGTATACGAGCTTGCCTTGTAACCGGGAGGTCCTGGGTTCGGACTTCAGTGGATGCGTACTGCCTATGACTCCTAAACTAGGATGAAACAGCTGTCCAGTACTCCAGGGTTGGTATTCAATAGTTCTCGAACTGATATCAATCCATGGTCAAACTCATATAAACAAATCTAATCCTTATGAACCAAACTCTTGACAATTTTATTTATATTTTGAATGAATCAGATGCAATAATGTGACAAATGCGGAAAATTCCATTCTGTATTATAAGTACTGTTTTCGGAATAAAGTCGATAATCATTAATTAATTATTATTATTTAATAAGAAGACAGAGATCGATGAACAGTCTGTCTTCGACCAATTCATTCACTTAACTGTACAACCATAATTATGCATTATTGTTATTATAGGTTTGTGAAACAAGAATTTAAAAATAAGTTTAGGTTACTGTTTACGTCATCAAAATACTTCAAAGGAATGTGATGAATAATCAGAATTGTAACTACTGCTGGAAAGAGGTGAAGATTAATAAGTTTAGACTAAAGATGCCTACTATGTAAACGTTCAAAAAATATTGAATGCTAATGAAACAGCATGGATAAAAGTATCAAATTAAATAATGTACTAGGTGAAGAAAGGGAACAGAGTGTCAGTTAAGAAAATTTCATACGAAAAATGCACCATATAGTGTTGATAACAAAATAGTGATAACTGCTGAAACGAAGGTAAATCGAATGGGATGAAGAAAACGTTTCTTCTGTGTACATAAATCAGACTTTTCCATCCGAATCTCTAAGGTGTCGAGAATGCACAATAACCGGAAACTCAACGCTTTCAGGAGGCTTCTTTTTGACTTTATAGATAGTTTTGAATGAATTCTCTTTGCATTTGGAATGGCCATTGTTGAATATGTGTTCATTTATTGCACTCATTATTGATCCATTGTCAACTTTTTTGTAGCCAACCGAGATAATGTTCCTTGATTGCTTTAGATAAGACATGCATAGAATGACTTATATATCTGGTTTCACAGGAGCAAGTGAACTGTTAGATACACACAGAAGAGGTTATATACGACTGTTTATCATTAAATTTATTGGAGAACATTAGACGATAATGAGAATACGAATATTAATGTAGAAACCAAAGAATGTTCTTTTCAGTTTGTTTGATACTGTCTTCTTCAGAGTGTCTTCCAGAAGATTGGCTTTGAACGCCACATTCATCTATGCTAACTTCGACAGAGATATGGTGTACTTTGTTGGTAATGAGTTTTATATGCTTATCTAAATCAATAATTCTCAGTAAGATAGGAAAAAAACAAAGAATTCAGTGAAGATAATTCTCTTTTCGACGATTTCACTTTCATAGCTGTACAATTGCGTTTGTATATATAAGAATTATATGGTAAACATTAATGTTATTGGAAGCTGATTGGTAGATAATGACTACCAGTGAAATCCAGGATGTGCATTTCATCCATTTTGGGACTCACCATCTGGATGGGCTTGGATTCCGCAATGAGTGATGATTTTCCTACCAAGGCTCGAACCCATCGCCCATAGTTTCAAACGAAATGCGCGTCCTGGATTCCTCTGCTAGTCACTATCCACCAATCAACTTGTGATTGCATACCCAGACATTGTCTAAGCATCTGCTCAAGAAGCCAACATGTCATCCTGAGACCAAGCACTTCAGTTAAGTTAATCGACGGGAAAATGTTACATTGAATTAAATAATTAAAGTTATGTTAAGCCAGCACTTGGTGTACAAAAACAGTTTGTATGACTTCTCTTGTTACCATGGTCTTGATTTTACTATGTAATTCAAGCGAAAGCTGTTATCTTTCTTTATTCCATGTTCCATTTTGTTTTATTTTATTTCATTTTATGTTGTCATATTTTAACATTTTATCTAGTCTACTACTTTAACAACATTTCACTCATCCTATGTTTCTATTATATTATATTCACATATTCACATTTCTGAATGTACTTTATTTTCTGATCATCTATTTTACACATGTCTGTTGACCCTAAGGTTGACCTCTATTCATTTATCATTTCATTCATATATATCTAATCAGTTGTGACTCATAATCCTGCACACCAATATTATCACACTTTAGTATTTCCACTCAATGTCAAACTTTAAAACGTACAAAAAAACTCAAAAAAGAAGACATTGTGAAGTGGATACACTATGTCATAAATTGATATAAGTTAGAATTCAAGGGATGGCGATTGGATTGGGTCCCAGTGGCTTAATGTTCTACGAGCTGGCTCACTTTGTAACCAGAAGGTTGTGAATTTGAACCTCTGTGGTGGGTGCGTACTGCCGAAGAGTTTCGAACTAGGCTGACGAAACAGCTTTCCAGTACTCCTTGCATCTTCTCGAAGGGCTCTCTAAATGATGTCAACTCATGATGAAATCCCCCAACTAGTCAAACTAAATCCCTACAAAAGCAATACTTGAGAAGGCTTACTATCTCCAATGATAATTCATTCACTTTTATGTATGTATATATATATATATCTATAGCTATAGAACCTGATGATGAAGTTTTCTTTGTTCAGTAACCATTCTTTTGAAGAGTTCTAAGCAGTTAGAAAATCAAACAGACAAAGAAAAGTCAAGTCAGTAGAAATCGACGCAGTTGTTGTCATGGCAGCAGAAGTGGTTGAATAATTTTCTTTTGCATGCATAATTCTGATTTTCCTACCTGAATGGCTAAGACCTCAGCAGTACAAAAAGTATGGAAGCGTATTGCCTTTGGTAAGTTATTCTTCATGCATCACTGACGAATATTAATAATAACGATTATGACAACTCATCACTTTTGTGACTAATCTATTTTATGAAAAAATGTATACAAGTATGATAGTTCAGGTGAAAAGGAAAATGAATGCACCTAAAGTAGCCTTTCTGACGAACTACGAGTTTTGTTTTCAGTAATGCATGGGTGGGATTTATTGATGAACATTTTGTTTATTGTTGTTAAATTATTTTTCGGTTAAGAAGAACCAATGAAATATGCAATAAGTTCATTTTATGTTACTCAATGTGTTCTTCTTGCTTTGTTCAAGTTTATGAAAAGAAATAACTCTAGGAATTCTTTGAAATGATGAGCTGGGGGGACTCAGACAAGTCTTCATTGGAAATCGATGCTCCTGTGGATGCACTAAGCGTACACTTTCCAAACGTATTTACGAATATCATGAGGGGTAGTTGGCAGGAGGACACTGTGAGACGATTACCAACACAATTTGTAAGCGCCTAGTGAATCCAGGGCACGCAGTCCCACCACAGTCATCTACAGGATGAGACCGAATCTTACGAGGGGTTTCTAACTTCAGAATTTGTTCGTGTTCTTAATAACTGTATGAGCTGTGTCAGCTCCTATGAATTAATGACATACTGTGGCAAATATAAATAAGATTGTATAGTCTCTGAAGATGATTTAGTCAGTTTTCTTCGCTAAATAACTTTTCATTCCCAAATATTTATTTGTTCTAACAGATAGAGTAAATAATTTATTTTCCTAATTGTTTTGGTGATGATCATTATTTTTACTACCATTTCATTTTGTTTAAATAGAAAGATTCTTCTCTACTCACTCGCTAGCTATCCGCATTCTTTTCATCAAGGATAAATATATATATTTATACCTATATACATGATTGGCTGACCTTCAACTACCAATCAAAAAGAAGTAAAAATATTGACTTGCTATGTGATTGGTCGTTATCAAATTTTCTTCTTTGCATAACCTTGACCGTTTCTGGGGATTTTCATAACGTGTAGTCGATGATATTAGAGCATATGGAGTATCAATTTGTATCATTTTTGATTGATACAGTATAATGATGGATGAAATAGGTGAATCAGTTGTAATATCTCCTACAGGAAGACGATTACTGCGTTTTCGAAAGACTATTCATGCCAAAATAGCTAAGACAAGTGCACTGTGCTTTACATGGATTTGTTTAGTAAGTAAAAGCAAAAGGAATAAACGTTATTGTATTTTTGTGACTTTTTAACTGATACATACGTTATTTAACTTTGCTAACTCATGTATGGGAAACAGTCTGAACTATATAGAAGCAAAAATACAATTGTTTTTTTTTTACAAATATAAGGGTAGAATATACTACCATAAATTATTATTCCATAGAATTCCGAGTAGGAAATACGGCCTTTAAAATTTTGGTAACGGCGATGTTCTGTTTGTGAAGTGCGTTTGCTATCCTCCTACACAATCTTCCCTCGTTTCTGGGTTTAATAGTGTATCAGTCAGGAATAAAACCTTGGACCATGTGTACAGTTGCTAAGACTTGTAATCTTGAATCACCCACGCACTCTCTGTTATCTTTTATTCCAACTTTCTAAATATCAGCCATAGACATTATTGCAATTTCATGTGTTTATTGTTGATATTAAATACAAACAATAAGATGACTGTCTTATCTCTTCACCTAACTATGTTACATTTTAATACTTGAACCCGTGTCATTTTAATGTGTGTTTACATGCAAGTACATTTGTAGGACTGACTTTGTAAATTATTAAGAAGCATCATTTGTGTCAGACTTAGCTGGATTCCTATATTCTATTGATTTTACTAACATCGATCCACTAGTTTGACTTATATAACTAACGTCACAAACATTACAAATGATGGTATTGACATAAGTAAAAACCTTGGGCACTGTGGTTGAGTATAACTCTATTATAGGTTAGATTTTATTCTGATAAATCACACAGTGTCGTACAGTAATATTAAGTGGTGACGCATTTGGCATTCTACTTTATTTTGGATTAATCTAATCTGTTATATCCTTAAGTCAAGAGATTTTTTCTTTGGGTGATTTGGTTAGTTGGTGTAAATTCCACCCTAAGTACAGGCTTTTGATGTGGTTGTGTTCTCTGAGCTGGATAGTTAATTTGCGAAGCTTTTATCGCCCCACTACTAGGCGACATCTTCAGCGCATACTTCAATTTGAAGTGAGCTTTTAGATTTCTCCACGAGTTTATTAATCATCTCTCCTGGTGACCTTTGACGTGATTGGTTGTTTTGTATGTTTTCACACCTTCTAGGCTACTTGTATTGGAACTGATTGTTTCTTTAACTTGAAATTTGACCCTTTGTATATGAGGTTTCTTTCTTATCGGTTGATAGATTTTGTCTATCTCGATGTATCTATTGATTGATTATTTATTGGAGTGCCAAGCTTCTAAAAATCCTCTGCCATTCTTTTTGTTTCCTCTGTCTAATATTTGAACATAGTCCCAGTCGAATTGATATCCGTGGTTGTCTGTATGTAGTGATATGAGGGAGTGGATGTTATGTCTTTTGATGGCTAGCCTATGATCAAGGATACGAAGACGAAGGGGGCGTCCACTTTGGCCAATGTAGTGTTTTTCCCAGTTGTTGAAGTATGAGCTGAAGATGTCGCCTAGTAGGGCGATGAAAGCTTCGCAAATCAGCTATCCCACTCAGAGAACACAATCACATCAAAATCATCCACCTGAGCTGCAAATCTTCTCTATCATATCTAAGTACAGGCTTATTAAGAATCCTACCTAGGGCTGATGCTCCATTTTTGATATCTATCTACTATCAAGTCTTTGAATTCCTTATTATTTATGTCATTTTCATTATTACCATTACTATTCTTATTTTCCTTATACGTCTTCATATATTTTTGAATGAAATCTGATGGGCATTCACTCACTGGTGACGATGTTTTTCATTTGTTTGGATCCTTATTAGTTAACATCTTGGTCCGATTACATAATCATCTAACTAAGCTTTTTATTAGTAATTCTGCTTGAGATTAATCAAAGTCTAAGCATTTTTAATGGAATGCATCGGTTTTCATTAGATGCCTTCATCTAATCTATAATTCTGTCACTTTTGAATGCCCAAATCGTCGCTTCAAATTCGGGTTCTATGTGAAGGCTTGAGGAGTGATGTTACGCAGTGGTCTCTTTAGCGTCAATTCAACACTCACCTGCATTTCCTCCTGAATATTTGTTGCACCATAAGCTGCTGGTTGATTGAGTGGCAGATTTCCTCGCTGTTATATGCTTTCTGACTTCTCATCTACTCTTCAGTGTCGAATGTGGACAACTGTTGATGAAAGTCTGCAGCCAGCCAGATCTGGTTTACAAACTGGTTCTAAGTTCGGAATAAGTAGGAAGATTAGGCGTAGGACTGGCTACTGTACTCTGGCAAATCAATCCAATTTCTAATTAAATTTCAATACAGAGAAAAAGTAAAGTAATCCAGATTCTTTTTACACCATCTTACCTTTTTTGTGTATGTTATTTCCACCTAGTTTGCAACAAACTGCATGTTATCTTTGGATATAAATAATTTTGTGTATTAATTGTGAGAAGAACTATTCATTATGCGTTTCTTATATTTTTGTTAAGACACTTGATACTATGGTATATTTAACTCTTCTGATCAGTAATTCAAAAATCAGTCATTATTTATGAGACAAAATGAGGCTGAGTTTTCAGCATAGAACTTTGTACAAAAATGCATCACTTTCATTTATCACACTTCATATAGCATACATAGGTAGAGAGAAAAACACTCTGGAGATTTGTAGTAAACAAAGATGTACAGGAGGGAGAATAGTAACACTGAAAGTAATAAGAATTTATTTAATTTATTTTAACACACCAGTGGGGTACAGCAGGTCGGGTGTGAGTACAATTAATCGCTGATGAAGTTAGCTAGTAGTCGCGCCATATTTTGCATGGCAGAAGTTGGAATTAATGGACTAGTTATTGGATCAGGTCCCAGTGGTTTAATGGTCTACGAGCTCACCTTGTAACCACAAGGTCCTGGGTTCAAACCCCGGTGGGGGCGTACTGATGAAGAGTCCCAAGCACTAGGATGAAACAGCTGTCCAATACTCTCTAGAGGTTTTCCAATGGTCCTCTAACCTGTGACAGACAGACAGACAGATGAAATCCTGAAAAGAATTTAATGGACGAATGCATAGAGTGAATCCATCGGCGCAGCTGAGGATGATTTCGAACTATTCCACCGAAAACCTTAAGTCAATGATTCTTAGAGTCTTGAAGACTCCAGTTAATCAGCCTGTACTTCCATAGATGTCAAAGACTTTGTGGATAGATGGAATATTTTCATTCCTACTCAACATATCAGCTAACCATCTCAAACGATGTAGCCCTAAAACATTGTAGATTAACTTAACCTCCGGACATAAAGTCTCAATGCCTAAACTGAATATTATTTTTTATATTGTGCTAAATGTCACGATGAATATAACGCAAAAATCCGTGGTCAGGGCAATCACGTAGAAAATGACCTCGACGAAAAGGACATTTTCTTCGCCTACAATTGTCTTCTAATTAACTCCTATGACCCAATGTGTATATTCCGTGATTTTTCATTTCTTATTATTCCTGTGGATTCTGAGAGGAGTATAGGACCTAAAGAGAACATCTTCATTGAATCCTGTTCCCTGCAGTCCTCTTTAATTGACTCCAGAATCACCTATTAGCTCTTATCTCCTCCATGTGATCCTCGAAATCATGTACAATTCGTCATTTACCATTTGAGCGGACCTTATGTGTGGTACTACTCAACGGTCTCCTCAAAGTGCCTGTCCAATCCATCTCCATGTGCTTCTCCTTATTTTTTGGGTGATACGCTGTTGGTTGGTTCGTTCCTAGAGTTCTTTGTTGCTAAGCCTTTCTGGTCAGCTATCTGATCTTTAGTAACGAGCAAAGGCGGCAGTCTGCAGTCTATTGGAAGTGCTTTCAGGGACGCGTTTGCTGTCTCTGAATAATACAGAAATACTTACCAACTTGACCGAATCTTGTTTTTTAATGCTGAGTGCACCGGATTTTCAAATTGATTTCATATTCATGAAGGTCTTTTTTGCCTTTCTAATCATTCGCCTAATTCAGACACATCTCTCAAACAATCTAGGGTCTGTGTAAAGGCGTAGGTTGTTTCATTTGTCAGTCGACTAGGAAACCCAACTCACTCCTACAGAAATCAATTATAGCCTGAAACAGAGTGAGACAAATTTCACAAACTCTGAAATCACTGGTGTAGACTTCAGTTTTCCTTCAAAACAAATATTTAATACTGACAGGTGATTTGTAACAGAAATAAGTGACTTTCGTCAAAAAATTCAATAAAAACTGAAAAATCAATATGAACCAAGTGACATTAGAAGGCTCTTTCGTTCTATATTGGAAGAATTCTACAATACCTCAAGTGATCTTCATTATGAACTGCTAATGAGTCCAAAAGCTTAGTTCAAGCGGCTGTCCAATGCTTCTTTGCATTCAGTGGATACCATCAACCAATATCTCTTCATGACAAAGTGAACCAAATCTCCACAGAGTCGGACACCTGACTAATAATTTAAACGGGATTGTCTACTGAATGAAAAAAAAGAATATTACCATTTTGTATTATTTGGATAAGTGACCAAACTCAGGACCCTCAATTTATAAACAGGCCTGCAGTGACGCTGTATATATCGCGAAATGGCAGAAATTAGAATATATGGGCTAATACCTATTAGATGGATAGTCAGTAGGCTCATCTTGTAACCTGAAGGCCCTGGATTCCATCCCCGATGAATAGGTAGGTGCCTAAAGCCCAGGAGTCCTAAAAAAGGACGAAACAACTGCCGAGTACACCCTGCTTTTGAACGGTTCCCTAATTTATATTGGTTCTTGATCCAGTCTGAAATTACTAAACAAAATGTAAGCCCGCCTGACAATAAATTTATATCATATATATATATATATATATTATTCCCTTGGGCCCCGAGTCTAAGACAGAGCTTCTGCAGAATATCTTCTACACACTTGATTCTCAGGAGTCCATGATAGCTTATAAACACAGTCTTCTCCATATTACACTCAGACGCCCAACTCGTCGCATTCCATCTGCCTTCCACTCTAGGGCATCCTCATCCACTCTGTC